GCCTTCTAATCAAGGTGAAAGAAGAAAGCGCAAAAGCCGGGTTGCAGCTAAACATCAAAAAAACCAAGATTATGGCAACAAGAATGATTGACAACTGGAAAATAGAGGGAGAAAATGTGGAGGCCGTGACAGACTTTGTATTTCTAGGTGCCAAGATTACTGCAGATGCAGACTGTGGCCAGGAAATCAGAAGACGCTTACTTCTTGGGAGGAGAGCAATGTCCAGTCTCGATAAAATAGTAAAGAGTAGAGACATCACACTGGCAACAAAGATCCGCCTAGTCAAAGCCATGGTATTCCCTGTAGTAACCTACGGATGTGAGAGCTGGACCTTAGGGAAGGCTGAGCGAAGGAAGATCGATGCTTTTGAACTTTGGTGTTGGAGGAAAGTTCTGAGAGTGCCTTGGACTGCGAGAAGATCCAACCAGTCCATCCTCCAGGAAATAAAGCCCGACTGCTCATTGGAGGGAAGGATACTAGAGACAAAGTTGAAGTACTTTGGCCACATCATGAGGAGACGGCAAAGCCTGGAGAAGACAATTATGCTGGGGAAAGTGGAAGGTAAAAGGAAGAGGGGCCGACCAAGGGCAAGATGGATGGATGGCATCCTTGAAGTGACTGGACTGACCTTGAAGGAGCTGGGGGTGGTGACGGCCGACAGGGAGCTCTGGCGTGGGCTGGTCCATGAGGTCACAAAGAGTCGGAGACGACGGAACGAATGAACAACAACAACAATATAATACTAACTAAACCCTTGTGCTGGCAGGACTGAAGACCGACAGGTCAGAGGTTCGAATCTGGGGAGAGCGTGGATGAGCTCCCCCTGTCAGCTCCAGCTCCCCATGTGGGGACATGAGAGAAGCCTCCCATAAGGATGGTACAACATCAAAACATCCGGGCGTCCCCTAGGCAACGTCTTTGCCGACGGCCAATTCTCTCACACCAAAAGCAACTTGTAGTTTCTCTAGTCACTCCTGACACGGAAAAAAAACAACCCACAAGCAAAACCTGACATGTCAAACATGATGGAATCTGATTGACCACTCTTTGTTGGCACTCCTAAACAGGAATGGTTTACTGGGCTGGTTTGTTGTAGGTTTTTTCAGGCTATATATGGCCATGTTCTAGAGCAGTGGTTCTCAACCTGGGGTCCCCAGATGTTTTTAGCCTTCAACTCCCAGAAATCCTAACAGCTGGTAAACTGGCTGGGATTTCTGGGAGTTGTAGGCCAAAAACATCTGGGGACCCCAGGTTGAGAACCGGTGTTCTAGAGGCATTCTCTCCTGACGTTTCACCTGCATCTATGGCAAGCATCCTCAGAGGTAGTGAGGTCTGTTGAAACTAGGAAAAAGGGTTTACATATCTGTACAAAGGACTCTTGTCTGTTGGAGCTAGGTGTGAATGTTTCAACTGACCACCTTGATTAGCATGTGATTGCCTGGCAGTGCCTGGAACAATCTTTTGTTGAGAGGTGATTACATGTCATTGTTTGTTTCCTCTCTGTTGTTGTGCTGTTGCAATTTTAGAGTTTTTTTAATACTGGTAGCCAGATTTTGTTCATTTTCATGGTTTCCTCCTTTCTGTTGAAATTGTCCACATGCTTGTGGATTTCAATGGCTTCTCTGTGTAGTCTTACCCATTGACATTTCTATGGCAATATCAATCAAAAATAGTTTATTGTACGGGCCCAAGGCCATGACAAAAAGCACCATACGCGCACAATACTACCCTCAAAGTACATGCACCAAAGATACTAAACAGAACCATGATTTGCTCCCACAACAAAAACAATGGAAGTTAATAATAGTTAAAATACATTTTAGGAGAGGATCCAGTTAACCCTTAGAATCTCCTTGGCAGTTGATAGCAATTTTATCTAACTCTGTCTTTCTGATCTTTTTTGCAGAGCGAGCAAAAAGGGCTACTTTGTAAGTTACAAAGTCATTTGTATCGCCCAGTAGAAACCGCACTGTTTCTGCAATAGAGTTTCCTTCATCTTGTGTCAATAGGTGCCCTAATGAAATTCTTCTATACACAGGGTGGCCAGCTGATAGAACCTGCCCTTAAAAATTTCAGCAGTCAAGTGTAGTCTTACATGGTGGTTGTTGGAGTGGTCCAGCATTTCTGTTCTCAAATAATATGCTGTGTCCGGGTTGGTTCATCAGATGCTCTGCTATGGCTGACTTCTCTGGTTGAAGTAGTCTGCAGTGCCTCAGAGGTGTCTTGCCACAGATGCAGGCGAAACGTCAGGAGAGAATGCTTCTAGAACATGACCATACAGCTTGAAAAGCCTACAACAACCCAGTGATTCCAGCCTTCGACAATGAAAGGAATGGTTTAGTTGCAGATTCCTTTCAAGGGGCCCGGGTTAGACTAGATGACATTTAAGAGCTTTCAAGCCTATAGTTCTTAAGCTTAAGTGGCTGATGGGGAAAAGGAAAGGGCCTGAGGTTGTTCTGAATGGTGGGCCCAAGTTGGCTCATGTACACCTGGAGGGCCCAAGAACACTTGGAGGGCCCAAGTTGGCTCATGTACAAGAGAGGTAAACCGGACACAAAAGTGAGATGTTAAAACAATAATTTAACGACTTATTGTTTAATACTATATTTAATAAACACAGTAATAAATAATTAGTAAAATGCCTCTTATTAAATACAAGCCATTTTCTGCCATGCGTTGCTGTGGCCCAGTCTGTGTTTATGTGCTTTGTGTGTGTATATGTGTGTTTGAATATGTGTATATGTGTGTGTGTGTGATTTTGCGCATGTGTTGTAATTTCATTTTTTTCTTTTTCTTTTTGGCTTTTTAAGTCACTTCCGTGTTTTTCAGTGTTTTTATGAGTGATTGTCAGTTGTTGGCCTGATACATATATTGTGTCCAAATTTGGTATGAATTCGTCCTGTTGTTTTTGAGTTATGTTAATCCCACAAACAAACATTACATTTTTATTTATATAGATTCTTTAGTATTGAATGTTTCCTTTGACCAGAAGCTGGGCACTTGGAGTGCCTCTGGTGTGGCTGTGAGAAGTTCCTCTGTTGTGCATGTGGCAGGGCTCAGGCTGCATTGTAGAAGGTGGTCTGCGGTTTGCTCTCCCCCACACTAGCATGGCGTGGACTCCACTCTGTAGCCTCATTTCTTAAAATTGGCTCTGCATCTCGTGGTGCCAAATTGCGGTGTGTTCAGCGCCTTCCAAGTTGCCCAGTCTTCTGTGTGCTCAGGAGGGAGTCTCTCATCTGGTATCAGCCACTGATTGAGGTTCTGGGTTTTTACCTGCCACTTTTGGACTCTTGCTCGCTGATGTGCTCCTGCGAGTATCTCTGTAGATCTTAGCAAGCTGTTTCTTGATTTAAGGCATTGGCATACTGGCTGATATCGGAACAGAAGACAGGCTGGAGATGTCCATGCCTTCGTCCTTTCATTGCTGGCTGCTACTTCCCAGTGGATATCAGATACCAGCTAAATAGTGTAATTTCTCCAGCGTTGTTGGGCATAGACATCCTGTGATAATGCGGTATGTTTCAATAAGAACCACATCCACTGTTTTAACATGGTGAGATGTATTCCACACTGGGCATGCGTTTTTGGCAGCAGAAGAGCAAAGCGTAAGGACAGATGTCTCCACTGTGTCTGGTTGCAATCTCCAGGTTGTGCCAGTCTTCTTTTGTATGATGTTATTTCTAGTACTCATTGTTTGCTTGATATTCAAGGAGTGCTTCTTATAAGTCAGAGCACAGTCCAGAGTGACTCCCAGGTATTTGGATGTGCTGCAATGCTCCAGTCCTATTCATTTCCAGGCAATACTCAGAGCTTGAGATGCTTATCTGTTCTTAATATGAAAAGCAGACATCTATGTTTTAGATGGATTAGGAATCTGCTGGTTTTTCCTGTAATAGGCAATAAGAGCACCTAAAGCTTCAGAGAGCTTCTGTTCAATCATCTCAAAGCTGCTTGAGCGGTGATGGCATGATTGTCAGCATACATGAAATTCTCTGTTCCTTGACAGTTGTGCAAATATTAAACATTGATGGAGCAGGCTAGCTCTCCTGAGGCAGGAAATTTAGTACAATGCCAAGTTTTTAACTTCGTGGTTTTTTAAAAATTATACATTAGAACTGTATTCTCAATTTGCTTCTGACACAATAAATAGCATCAAATATTTAATAAACTATACTAAATACTGTTAAAATATAAAAGAAATATTAAAAAACAATAAATTTTTCAATCCCCAAATTAAAGGTAAATTATTTGCTGTGTAATACTATTAATATAAAATATTTAATAGTACTGAATATTTAATCAATATCACTAATTGTTAAAATAAAATCTTAAATGAAACATTTAAATCTGTCAATTCAAAAAATTAAAACACAATTAAAGTAATTCAGTTGCTGAATTCTAAGACAGATTCTAAGACAGTTGGAACTTGGAATAATAGACGAGGAGATCGGATTATGACTTTATTGATGAGACGTGATGGATTAGTTATATGGATGTATTGTTGTTATATTGTTATACTGATGTTTTGCTATGTGATTTAGTTGCTTTAGTTACTGTTTTTAAATGCTAATACTATTGTTGTGCACTTGTATATTGACCTGGTTGTAAACCGCACTGAGTCGCCTACGGGCTGAGAGAGTGCGGTATACAAATAAAGTAAATAAATAAATAAATAAATAAATCAGAAAATGCACACTAATTTCAATGACACCGACAAAAAGATATATATGTGTGTGTGTGTAATTCTGCGACATATCCCCTTTAAAAATGTTTATATAGAGAAAATTTGCATCTTTGAATTGAAGCAATACAGTATTTAAACAAAACAAAGTTATTAAATGCATTGAAAAAACTAAAAAACACAACTAAATAATGTCATGAGGTAGCAAAATATTTGAAGGAGAGGAAGATAAACAATATAAAATGAACAAAAATACTGTAGATAGAACTTTTAATCTATATAAAAGCAAGAGTTTTTAATGAATCATAAAAAAAACGTATGAAAACAACAGTCACAGTTTATTTGAAGCACACTTGGTACAAAACGAATAAAATGGACAGGATCAGATATTCTACACCGCCTTTTCACTCACTCTTCTTCTAAGAATAACACTAACTCACTTAGCACACTAAGATACGAAAGTAAATTACTATATTGGTTCCTGTTAACAGAACCAAATGAAATGAAAATAAGGCTGTTATTTTTGTTAAGGTACAAATTTTGATTCGATACATCTGGTTGAGCATAAACCTTTATTCTCTTGGAGGCAAAATGTTTGGAATCTTATTTTATATTCAAATGTGTTAATTTGATCTGTAATCTTTTGGGACAAATGACATTATATTTATTGTGCTTCTTCTAATTGCTGACTTATTTATTCTAATGTTTATTATAAATCTGCTAGATTTTGTAATCTGCATTGAAAAATTAGATGAATTAGACCCATATCCTCAAAGATGCCTGCACATATTCATGGAGCAATGGGCCCTCCACTTTCTCTGGATTCAGGGGGCAAGGCCCACATAAATGTGAAAAATCCATTTTTTAAAAATCAAATTTTTAACCTGAAAGAAATAGTCTATTTCTAAGACTCTAGGAGTTGTTCTCTAATCCTCCAACTTCATTGACCATAGAATAACACTGAAGGAGACAGAAATGCATACAGAAGAGTTCTCTCTAGGAATCTCTTAAGGCTCCAGCACAACTCCCTGGTCAGCTTTCACCATAGAGCCCTAAAGATTCCTAGAAATGTTTCAATCAAATCAATGAAAAATCACATCCACAAAAGTCAAACCCACAAATGAGGAAGGCTGAATGTAGGAATCCGTTAAGGATCCCTCTTTTTGTCATTGTAAGTTTAGTGGGATGAGAGTACAGTACATTTTTAATGTTATTTTTTCCCCACAGAAATAGAATCCGTATGTTATGTTATACAAGATCAATTGTGTGTACCTCCTGACATTTGAAGATGTCAATATGCCTTTGCATCTTGGCATTTGGTTACAATAGTAGTATTCATAGAGTAGTCACAAAGAGCAAATAGCTCTTTGTAGTGTCACAGTGGAAGCACACCAGTGAGATGAAGCACAGCACATGATCTAGAAAATACCTTCCAGGTAATGTGGCAGAACTACTTGGCATCATAATATTTCAGGGCCATTTGTGTGTTGAACAATATAGAGAACATAACAATTTGCACTATAGGCAATGGCATAGCCCCATGGCTGATTTTTTGAAAACCTCAGCTTTCTGCAGTGGCGTAGTGGATTAAACCCTTGTGCCGGCAGGACTGAAGACTTGACAGGTTGCAGGTTCAAATCTGAGGAGAGCGTGGGTGAGCTCCCTCTGTCAGCTCCAGCTCCTCATGTGAGAACATGACAGAAGTCTCCCAACAAGGATGGTAAAAACATCAAAACACCCGGGTGTCCCCTGGGCAATGTCCTTGCAGACAGCCAGTTCTCTCACACCAAACGCGGCTTACAGTTTCTCAAGTCGCTCCTGACACGAAAAACAACACACACAGTAATTTTGACCTACTATTACTACTTTAACCAAAATAGGATTGTGATAATCCTGCAATGCTCTCATGTGAATGAGTCATATGTCAGTGAAAATGATTTCATCAATTGTTCAAATGTACCAGGAGCCATGACAGGAATAGGTAAAGGTAAATTTTCCCCTCGACATTAAGTCTGATCGAGTCCAACTCTGGGGGATGGTGCCCTAAGTCAAAGAGCCAGCACTGTCCGTAGACCCCTCCTAGATCATGTGGCCATGACTGCATAGAGTGCCATTACTTTCCCACCCGAAGTAGTACCTATTAATCTACTCACATTTGCATGTTTTCAAACTGCTAGTTTGGCAGAAGCTGGGGCTAACAACAGGAGCTCACCTCATCCCATGGATTTGAACCGCTGACCTTCTGGTCAGCAAATTCTGCAGCTTAGCAATTTAACCTGCTGCGCCACCAAGGCCACCTATATGACAGGAATATATGTACGGTAGTCTAATGTATGTTTTACTTACATGTATAACATTTTAAGCTCACTTTTTGTCTCAAAAGCATCGCTTTGGGCGGTGCCATTCAGTTTCAGCAATTTTGTCTGAGACATGTCTGAGGTGCTATGATCATCTGATTACTTTACCACAGGTGTATTTTGACTGCTCTTGTCTTCCACAAAATGAAACAACTTCCAAGGCATATCTCTTGTTCATGCAACTTTTCTGTTCCACCCAAATCTTCGTGATTGTGCTCTGACTGTAGTGAATCTGATGCAAGGAAAATCAAAAGACAAAACCCTTCAAAACTTTGAATACTACAAAAGGATGTAGAGGTGACTCCTTTTTCAAGTAATTTTTAAAAAGAGGCATGAGGAAATAACGGAGTTTTTTTTAACCTAGGCAAAGGCATAATCCAACCAGAGTCAACAGGGGACTGTGTGGCATTCTAAAGACATTGCTGAAATTCGGTTCCCATTGGTCATAGCCAGCATTATGAGATGATAGAACTACAGGTTGTTCACTACTATAACCAATCACTGGGGTCATTATGTAACCTTTCGTGTTGAAATCAGTGGGACTTAAGTGTGTTTTGACAGGATTGCACCAAATTATTCTAATGCATAACTCAAAAGCAGTTTTGACAGTTCCACAGAGTTTCCCCAACCATTTGTGATTTTTAGATTTTTGGACTGAAGCTCCCATCAACCACAGCTCCCATGACCAACTGTGATAATTCACAGAGGCGGAAGTGCAAAGCATCTGAAGGTTAGGGAAAGCTGATCTATAATTTAGTGCAGTGTTTCTCAACCTGGGGGTCGGGACCCCTTGGGGGGTAATGAGAAGGTGTCAGAAGGGTTGCCAAGGCCCATCAGAAAATACAATATTGTCTGTTGGTCATGGGGGTTTGTGGGAAGTTTGGCCCAATTCATTCATTGGTGGGGCACAGAATGCTCTTTGACTGTAGGTGAACTATAAATCCCAGTAACTACAATTCCCAAATGTCAAGTCTATTTTCCCCAAACTCCACCAGTGTTTTGGGCATATTGAGTATTCGTTCCAAGTTTGGCCGAGATTCATCATTGTTTGAGTCCACAGTGCTCTCTGAATGTACTGAATGTGAACTACAACTCCAAAACTCAAGGTCAATGCCCACCAAACCCTTCCAGTATTTTCTGTTGATCAGGGGAGTTGTGTGTGCCAAGTTTGGTTCAGAATGCTCTTTAATTGTAGGTTAACTATAAATCCCAGCAACTACAACTCCCAAATGACAAAATCAATCCCCCCCCCAACCCCACCAGTATTGAAATGTGGGCCTATTGGGTATGTGTGCCAAATTTGGTCCAGTGAATGAAAATACATCCTGCATATCAGATATTTATATTACATTTCATAACAGTAGCAAAATTACAGTTATGAAGTAGCAACAAAAATAATGTTATGGTTGGGGTCACCGCAACATGAGGAATTGTATCAGGGGTCACGGCATTGGGACGGTTGAGAACCACCTATTTAGTGCCTGTTTGGAAGTTGTTCATGTTTTGAATTGATGAAATGTCTTTAAAAACAACAATAGAAGACAAAACCAGAGAGTAAACCAGTCTAAGGGATGTTCCCATTGTACACCACTGTTCTGTTTGCACCAAACAGAACATGAGGTCTGGAATGTATCTTGCGCAAGTTGTCAAGACACTAGTGAATCAATACTACTGAGTTCTGGACAATGAGGAAGATATTATATGCCTCTCTAGAAGAAAGGTTCTACATGAGTTCCATAGTGATAACCAGGTAGCATTCACAAATTCACAAGATTATTGGAAAAGTTTCAGTCAAACTGCCTTTGTTCTCAAACAAGATGACCATCCACGAAACCTCATATTGTAGATGGAGTTCTAAGCTTTGTTGTAATCCTCTTCCAGATTGTATAATAAATGAACTGTCTGAATAAATTCCATAGCATTTAAGATAAGCCACTCCCTTGAAAGATTAGTTATCTGTTTCTTAGTTGATACTGTATATATATTTTTTATAGAAAAAATGCTCACAATATCATTTTTTTTTGTTTTTTCAAAAACCGTACTAATAAAAGAACCTTCCTAGTTCTGGGAAGCAGTTCCTCTACATGAGGTTGAAAAGGCGTCAGAAACCAAGCCATCCAGTTTTTACTGTGATAATGCTAACTCTGAGAAACAGCTTAGTTATTTAATCATAATTGGAAAGTTTATGGACCTATCACATTTGGCAACAAGTATACTTTTCAGCAGAACCAACCTCAAAGGGAGCTGAAGCCACTCAACCAGGGGCTGTTCTAGGCACTATGAGAGTAGCATATTAACAGTTGTGCTCAAGGAAACACTAGTGCTTATGGTAAGCACAGAAACCTGGTCCTCCCCAGGATGGACGTGAGCCACATGGCGCGGGAACTGTTGCTTATATCTGAAGGTTTTCCCACAGGCAGAGCAGGCATAGGGTTTCTCGCCCGTGTGGATCCTCTGATGTTTGACCAGTTTGGAGTTGACATAGAACCCACGACCGCACTGGGGACACTTATAGGGCTTCTCCCCAGTGTGGATTCTCTGGTGCTCAATCAGGGATGAGCTCTGGGAGAAGCACTTCCCGCACTCTTCACACCGATAGGGCCGCTCCCCAGTATGCACACGATTGTGAGAGACCAGGTGGGTTTTCTTCTTGAAACATTTGCCACAGAGGGGGCAAGGGAATGGCTTCTCCCCTGAATGGGTACGCTCGTGCTTGAGGAGATTGGAGCTCAGGGAGAAGCGCTTCCCGCAGAGGGTGCATGTATATGGCTTCTCACCTGAGTGGGTACGCAAGTGCTTCACGAGGTTGGAGGTGCGGCTGAAGGCCTTCCCACACTCTCGGCATGGGAAAGGTGTCTCCCCAGTGTGGGTACGTTGATGTTCTGTCAGCGCAGAGCTCCGGCTAAACCCTCGTCCGCACTCTGAGCAGGCAAAGGGCTTCTCACCTGTGTGGATCCTCTGGTGTCCCATCAGGGTTGAACTTTGGGAGAAGCGCTTCCCACATACGTTGCACACAAAAGGCCTCTCACCTGTGTGGATCCTCTGGTGTTCAATGAGCACTGAACTCTGTGAGAAGCTTTTCCCACACTCAGTGCAGTGGTATGGCTTATCCACTGGCCTGCGTGGGGCAGGGGGTGGAAGGGGAGGAGAAGGTTCCAGGATACCCAAAAGATTGATAAACCCTGGAGGATCATGGGAAATCTCCTTCGCTCGTTGTCTTCTCACCTGGCTCCTCCACCGCTGTTCCTCCACCTGAGAGTCACAATCGTTAAAGCTCTGGGAGTTGTTGGGGTGATGCAGCTCAGCATCTCTTTCAATTGCACCATATTGGTCTTTCATTTGTCTTCCTCCATTGCCTCCTATCAGTAGTCCAGTGTGGTGAGGCCTCAAAAATGTTCCCAACTCATGTATTTCCAAGTTTTCCTCTGCTGCTTCTTTCTTGATCTCTCTTCCCTCAGCCTGACTTTCATACACAGCACCTGCTAAGAAAAAAAGCCCCATTAAGAAATGGAAACTATGAATGAAATAATATTTATTCTAATACCCTCTTTGACTACAGTGAAGCCATCCTGACTTTTGAGGAGTTGGGTCCAGTAGAAGTCTTCTGTGGACAGCAGAAAGGATTCACCTGATTTACAATTTCCCTGTTCTCCCCATATAGCTCACCCTGATGGCCACAATTCAGTGTCCTATGTTTTGCTATCATTCTAATAAAGGAATTTGAATATTTTTATAAAGAAGTAATGTCTTCAGCTGCATCTGAAAAGTTTGACTGGAATCCATCAATACTTATGCTGAATTCACAAAAACCTAATTAGAGGTTAGTCCTCAAAAATTTGCAAGATTCCTTCTTTCCTTTCTGAAGCAGACTAACATGGTTATCTCTCAGAAAATCAAATGTTTTGTCTCATCTTAGATTCACAATTACAACCTCCAACATAAGATTTCTTTATATTTGAARTACWCCASTGWCTACRTATTAGATAATKTKGAAAATCCTGTMATTAACAAAAGACATTGGACCTTTCAGGATGTTCAGAATATGTAGAYATGTATCTGATGAGGTCACGAAGAGTCGGAGACGACTGAACGAATGAACAACAACATCTGATTAGAGGCCAAGATGAAGTATTTTGGCCACATAATGAGAAGACGGGAAAGCTYGGAGAAGACAATTATGCTGGGGAAAATGTAAGGAAAAAGGAAGAGGGGCCGACCAAGGGCAAGATGGATGGATKGTATCCTTGAAGTGACTGGCTTGACCTTGAAGGAGCTGGGGGTGGTRAMGGCYGACAAGGAGCTCTGGCGGCTGACAGGGAGCTCTGGCGTGGGCTGGTTCATGAGGTCAYRAAGRSTCRGAARCGACTGAACAAATGAACAACAACAATCTGATTYTCTGGAAAGGAAATATTCAGATTCATACTGACTATCCAAGACAGAAACTGAAGTTGTTTCAGTGATCAATTGYTTGCCGATGACTGMAAGGTGGAAAGGGGAGTTCGTGCCATGTCCAACTGCAGCTATACTCATGCTGTGGATTTTACCTCTCATCCTATTTTATAAACATTTCTTTTATACATGCAAAAGCATTAACACATGGACACTTAAAAGGCATAATTATTTCCATTTCCAAAGCATTTCTCCCTGCTATGGAAAACTGATGATAAACTTAACTATGAACTTCAAAGCTGGCCTCAAGACCACATGACACAAATAGTAATGCCTGACAATATTTTAAAATCCCACACATCTCTATCAACCTGTGCATCTGTTATATCCTCTAGTATCTGACCAAACTGTGCATAGATAAATAGTAACATATGTTTTATATCCATAAATACACATCAATTTGAAGAAAAGCCTTGTGTAACTCATGAAGTTTGCATATCTTTTTTTCAAATACATTTTTAATTTTGTTGTATACAAGTGACAAGCAAAAAGCAAAAATTACATTAACTAGCAATGCAAATATATTACACTGCAATATTCTAACAAATCCTTTCCCTTCTTCCTTTCACCGGTGAACCCACCACCTATAACTTCTGTCACTACTCACTGTGAATCTTATAACTCAATAAAATCTACACTTATAACTATTCTAGTAAATTCCCCTTGCGGCTACTTTAAAGTCAACATTTGTACATGTTTTATCATCAGGAGTTGGATGTCTCTTGTTTTATAACACTTATATGTTTTAACTGCTTAATGTTTATATTGATGTGTTTGATGTTCATGAGTTGACATTTATCTTGTTGGTCTTATTTTAATTATTGTGATTTGCCTTTTTGATTTATTGTGCCTGTTACCATATATATTGTTTTTATGTTATGAGTCGTCCAGAATCCCTTTGGGGAGAGGGGGTGGGATATAAATAAAGATGACTATGATTATTATTCGAAACATAAGATTAGTACACAGCAAACAAGATCACTCTGCTGGCTGTTGTATTGGATCACATGTCGGACACTTCCCAAGTGTCTAGGACTGTGTGATGCATTGGCGAATAATGCATAAGGTCCAAGTAGGGTGGCCTTTTGCAGCTGACAGATGGTAATTTTGTCAGCGCAGATTATGTTTAAGTGCAGGCCAAGGTCTTTAGGCACTGCACCCAGTGTGCTGCTATAATAATAATAATAATAATAATAATAATAATAATAATAATAATTATTATTATTATTATTATTATTAGAAACATAACACGATTAGTACACAGCAAACAAGATCACTATGCTGGCTGTTTTACTGGATCACATGTTGGACACTTCCCAAGTGTCTAGAACTGTGTGATGTATTGGCGAATAATGCGTGCAGATCCCAGTAAGGTGGCCTTTTGCAGCTGACAGATGGTAATTTTGTCAGTGCCGATTGTGTTTAAGTGCAGGCCAAGATCTTTAGGCAGTGCACCCAGTGAGTCAATCACCACTGGGACCACCTTTACTGGTTGTATTATTATTATTATTATTATTATTATTATTATTATTATTTCTTTCCAAATATTCAAATGCCAGCCTCCATTTTTTGACAAACTCTTCATTATTTCCTCCCTGGATACCATAAGAGAGTTTCCATTTCTTGACACAAACCAGCTGTATTACAGTTACAGTAGATTCTCAGTTAAATGGCATCCATGGGGACTTGCTGATGCAGGATAAATATTGTTTCTGGTTGCTTGAGTTACTATTAAAATAGGCCTAATTAATTATATATACCATAACATACCCTCTGCATTGACTTGATATTATTATTGACATGCAGTAATTAAAAGCAAAGAGAAAGTAGCACAGTTTTATTTACTTCATTTCATTTGTTGACCGCCGCTCTCAGCCCTGGGGCGACTCGCGGCGGTGTACAACATGTATTTTATTATAATTTATTATTTGTGTTTTTGTTTAATTTTTATTTCTTCCAATTTTTGCCAGTTTCTTGAATGTTTCATATGTGTGAGCTCCAGTTAACTGAGAGCCTAGTGTCCCATCTTAATATTTTTTTAATCTCTGGGATTTAACATTGTCAATCTTCCCTTTTTTTGGATTTTTAAATCTCTAGTGTGCCATGAAGCAGGAAAAAAAATTGCTCTCCCCCCTGCTACTTACTTTCATCTTTCAGTTTCTCCTTTTCCTCTGCACCTCCCAAAGGTTTCCTTTCCATCTTGCAAAGCTTGTACTAACTAGGAAGCCTGGAGAAGCTATTTGCAAAGCCTCAGGGCAGAAGCAAGATACAATAGGCAGCGCTCAGAGTCCTGCAGCTTGTACCATTCTCAGTGGTGCCTGCAGAGTGTTGGAGGGAACCCAGTGATGATGTCACATCCTCAACCAAGTTCACATGATGCAGGGGGAACTGGAGGGGGGAGAGGAAGTGCAATCCTGGAGGCAGTTGCTAGGAGACCCAAAGAAGCACACCAGGCCAAGCAAGAGCTATTCCAAAGCAACATGAAGCCTTGGGTTCTGGTTCAGCCCAAGATTTTCTGTTTTGCTCTTGCTGCTTCTCTCTGGAAAGGAACCTAGAAGTTTAATTTTCTGCACAGGATGACCATATATGTTTTCCTTCCTTTTTTTTTTTTTACACAATAGTGTTAATATTGTTAGGATTTTGCCCAGTGTTGTTTTAATTCATGTCTCAAATGTGGGTGCAAAATAAATAATAGCTATGCAATACCTTCTAGATCAGGTATGGGCAAACTTTGGCCCTCCAGGTGTTTTGGACTCTAACTATCAGCTGGAGTCCAAAACACCTGGAGGGCCAAAGTTTGCCCATGCCTGTCCTATATTAATGCTGACAGTAATGCTCCCCATCCTAGAGGCTTAGATATTCCCCTATTTACTGTCATTAAATTCTTTTTTGCCAGCAGTTTTAGTAAAGATAAGGTTTTTAAAAGTATGCTGTACACATTTGAAAATGTTGTTAGTGTTATTGGTCCAATGTTTATTATATTGTACATGATTTGTGAGTCACCAACAGCGCTGTTGAATTCAAAGAGGCACAAATGGAGAATGAAAGGGAGAAACATGTCACGAAGGTGGCGCATCAAGCCAACCCTTGTTGGGACCGACTTCTATCTGGAAACCGATGTCCTCACTGTGAAAAAAACATGAATATCTAGAAGAGGTCTCTACAGTCACCTTTAGACCCACCATCAAGACCCTACACTTGAAAGGCAATCATACTTGGCCACGAGCGATTGCCTATTATGATGATGGTATTTAATGTTTATTATATTGTAGGTAAAGGTTTTCCCCTGACATTAAGTCCAGTCGTGCGCAACTCTGGGGACTGGTGCTGAAGAGCTGGTGTTGTCCGTAGACACCTCCAAGGTCATGTGGCTGGCATGACTGCATGGAGCGGCGTTACCTTCCTGCTGGAGCGGTACCTATTGATCTACTCACATTTGTATGTTTTTGAATTGCTAGGTTGGCAGGAGCTGGGGCTAACAGCTCACGCCGCTCCTCAGATTCAAACCTGTGAGCTTTCAATCAGCAAGTTCAGCAGCTCAGCGCTTTAACCCACTGTGCCACCGGGTTGTACTCGTTCTGAGTCACTTTGAGTCCCAGGCAAAATTACTCAGTTAAGTATATGCTAATACAGAGTTTTATTTACTACAGAAGTTACATTTTCTATTTCTCAAATCAACTCCAATGGCCATGCTGTGGGTAGATTACCCCTCCCTCTGGTCATTTACTTATTCTGGAGGTTTTCTGTTCTGAAAACACAACTTTAGACAAAAAGATGGACACAATGAGAGAAAAACATTTATTTTCATGACCTATGAAGAACAAGCTATAAGTATGCACAATTAATTCTCAAACACAGGTTTTTTAAAAGATGAATGTTTAGGGCCAATAAGAAACAATAAAAGGAATATCTTAAAAAGCAGTGGCTCTGTTGTGTTATGAGCATATGTGAAAACTTGCTACTGCCTTGCTCTTGTCTGTCTCAAGAGCCAAACCACTGCTCAGTTTCAATCTTACTGAAATGCCCTTGCTACTTTACACAAAATCTTGGATAAGAAATATCTGGACCTCTCTGGTTTATCACAACAAATAATAACACAACAAATGCATGAATGTGCCTCAGTTGGTATGAGGGATTCAAGAATTCTCTCGTAAAGAGGTGCTAATGTGGTATAGATACTGCATTTCTTCAGTATAACAATTCACTGCTGGGCAAATGTATGTTGGAATTCTCTCACTGTTAGCAAATTGTAAAAATGTGTAATGGGATACAAGCAAGAGTGTCCTGATGCAGATCAAGATCGACTGATGTGCATCAGCATTCCCTTGCTGGGGTCCTGACCAAGAATAACTTGGTCATTCTGACTGAGGAAATAAGGAATTGAGATGGGGTTACAAAAACCTTTCTCCTCAAGGGGATAAAGTTAGCCAAACTGCAGTCACAAAAGGTTATACCAAGAGGGTGGGATCCAAACTTAATCATTTATGGAATAGATCCACTGCAATCATGACCAACTTCCAATGGTTTTAGCATGCCTCCAATATGAATAAGCCTGGATCCAACCCAGAAACAGGAAGGCAGCAAGAGAGGCTACAATCATAAAGAATTCATTGAGGATTCTTATGTTACACTTTGCCTGACATCTGTATCAGAGGAGGCATCTCTGGCCAGGGGCTCAAGGAACTGGGTGTTTGAGCTGATTTCTCCACCTCCTTTTCAGGGTGTGCCTTTCTCAGGTGACGGGTGATTTGGGGCTGGTAACGGAAGGCCTTCCCACAGATAGAGCAAACGTGTGGTTTCTCCCCTGTGTGAATTCGCTGATGCTTGAGGAGGTTGGCGCTCACGCAGAAACCCCTCCCACAGTCAGCACATATGTAGGGCTTCTCCCCAGTGTGGATCCTCTGGTGTTCGACCAGAATGGAGCTCTGGGAGAAGCACTTTCCACACTCCTCGCACCGAAAGGGCCGCTCCCCAGTGTGCACGCGATGATGGGACACTAGGTGGGTCTTCTTCTTGAAGCGCTTTTCACAGAGGGTGCAGGGGAAGGGCTTTTCTCCTGAATGAGTGCGCTCATGCTTGAGGAGGTTGGAGCTCAGGGAGAAGCATTTCCCACAGAGCTGGCACGTGTAGGGCTTCTCGCCTGAGTGGGTGCGCAAGTGCTTCACAAGATTGGAGGTGCGGCTGAAGGCTTTGCCACACTCGTGGCATGGGAAGGGTGTCTCCCCAGTGTGGATGCGCTGGTGATCGGTAAGAGTAGAGTTGCGTGTAAAGCCCTGTCCACATTCCAAACACTTGAAAGGTTTCTCGCCCGTGTGGGTGCGCTGGTGTTCCAGCAAAGTGCTGCTGCGGCTGAAGCTTTTATTGCATTTATTGCAGGTGAATGGGCGCTCCCCTGTGTGGATTCTCTGGTGTTCTATCAGGTTAGAGCTCTGGGAGAAGCTCTTCCCGCAATCGAAGCAGGGGAATGGTTTTTCTGAGTCTGGCACATTTGATCTTCTGCAACGGCGCCTGAATTGTGAAGGCGTTCCCTGCAGATCCTCTTGACTCTTGAGGGTTTCTTGTAAAGTCTGGGCTGCTCTTTCTGCAGTTATTGCATTGAGCAGAAGCACTATATCCTCCTTCACTTTAGCATTCTCTATAAAAAGGATAAGACATCTGTCAGAATGACAGCATTTCCAATTCAGAAACACCAAACATTCAGTTCCCTGCCCATATAAAGACCAAATATTTATTAGTGCCTAAGGGAAGGTTGGACAATTAGTGACCTTCTAGAACAGTGGTTCCCCACCTTTTTTTGACCAGGGATCACTCTCCAACATTACCAAAAGGGTTACGAATTAGTTTTTGGTCAGCTTTAGATTCAGTGTGGTTATTTGGGGTGCTGATTCAGAAAATTACATTGGATAGACCACATCAGCTCTAGTTTCTGATACAGAACATATGCCATCCAGTAGTTGCCATCTGCTCGTCCATAGCAAGCCATATTTATTAAGCCTCGGCACAATAAGAGGGTTTCGCAAGACAGTCACTCTGCTGCTTGAAATCTTAAGACACCTGCCACTCAACTACCCACCTGGATAACTGCTGCTTCCTGGGATCTCTTCTTCGGGAATGTGAAATTCTGGAACATAGTTTATTCCGTCACCTTGTGCCATTCAGAAGACCAAAGTAATACCTGATGAGCCAAAAACCTGTTTTTGAGATGGAGAATCACAATTTTATACTCACTCTCTGTCTTGAGAAAAATCTATGTTTCAAAAGGACTAAATAAGCACCCACACTGCAATGAAGACACATCTTCACATAAATACACAGCAGTCTATCTAGATGACCAATGACTCTCCTTGCATGGGAGCATCTACAGTGGCCTGGACAAACTTGGGCCCTCCAGGTGTTTAGGACTTCAACTCCCACAATTCCTAACAGTCCCGTTGGGACATCTGCAGGGAGACCAAAGTGCTTGTTTATAAAGCCATTGTCCTCCCAAACCTGCTATACGCCTGCAAAATGTGGACTGTCTACAGACATCACACTCAACTCCTGGAACGATTCCATCAGTGTTGCCTCCAAAAAAACCTGCAAATCTCTTGGGATGACAGGTGGACAAATGCCAGCGTGCTGGAAGAAGCAAAGACCACAGGTATTGAAGTGATGCTCCTACGCCATTAACTCCACTGGACTGTCACATTATCTGAATGCCTGATCACCATCTCCCAAAGCAGTTACTATACTCCCAACTCAAGACGGGAAACGTAATGATGGATGGGAAAAGAGATTTAAAGATGGGTTTAAAGCCAACCTTAAAAACTGTGGTAGAAAGCAAGCTCTTGGTGGTATGGGCATACCAAGCCACCTTGTCTCTCTCCTGAGGAATCTGTATAAGGACAAAGTAGCAACATAAGAACTGACCAAGGAACAACAGACTGGTTCAAGATTGGGAAAGGCGTACGGCAGGGTTGTATACTCTCACCCAACCTATGTAACTTGTATGCAGAACACATCATGCGATGTGCAGGGCTTGACGAATGAAAGGCTGGGGTTAAAATAGCTGGAAGAAACAACCTTAGATATGTAGATGACACCACTCTGATGGTCGAAAGTGAGGAGGAGCTGAGGAGCCTTCTAATCAAGGTGAAAGAAGGAAGTGCAAAAGTTGGGTTGCAACTAAACCATAAAAAAACCAAGATTATGGCAACAAGAATGATTGACAACTGGGAAATAGAGGGAGAAAATGTGGAGGCAGTGACAGACTTTGTATTTCTAGGTGCAAAGATTATTGCAAATGCAGACTGTGGCCAGGAAATCAGGAGACGCTTACTTCTTGGGAGGAGAGCAATGTCCAATCTCGATAAAATAGTAAAGAGTAGAGACATCACACTGGCAACAAAGATCCGCATAGTTAAAGCAATGGTATTCCCCGTAGTCACCTATGGATGTGAGAGCTGGACCTTAGGGAAGGCTGAGCGAAGGAAAATAGATAATTTTGAACTGTGGTGTTGGAGGAAAGTTCTGAGAGTGCCTTAAACCGCGAGAAGATCCAACCATAGAATCATAGAATCAAAGAGTTGGAAGAGACTTCATGGGCCATCCAGTCCAACCCCCTGCCAAGAAGCAGGAATATTGCATTCAAATCACCCGACAGATGGCCATCCAGACTCTGTTTAAAAGCTTCCAAAGAAGGAGCCTCCACCACACTCCAGGGCAGAGAGTTCCACTGCTGAACGGCTCTCACAGTCAGGAAGTTCTTCCTCATGTTCAGATGGAATCTCCTTTCTTGTAGTTTGAAGCCATTGTTTCGCGTCCTAGTCTCCAGGGAAGCAGAAAACAAGCTTGCTCCCTCCTCCCTGTGGCTTCCTATCACATATTTATACATGGCTATCATATCTCCTCTCAGCCTTCTCTTCTTCAGGCTAAACATGCTCAGCTCCTTAAGCCACTCCTCATAGGGCTTGTTCTCCAGACCCTTGATCATTTTAGTCGCCTTCCTCTGGACACATTCCAGCTTGTCAATATCTCTCTTGAAATGTGGTGCCCAGAATTGGACACAACTGAACACAATTGGACACAAACCAGGCCATATTTCAGGAAATAAAGCCCGGCTGCTCATTGGAGGGAAGGATAGTAGGGGCAAAGTTGAAGTACTTTGGCCACATCATGAGAAGACAGGAAAGCTTAGAGAAGACAATTAGGTAAAGGTAAAGGTAGTCCCCTGACATTAAGTCCAGTCATGTCTGACTCTGGGGTGTGGTGCTCACCTCCATTTCTAAGCCGAAGAGCCAGCGTTGTCCGTACACACCTCCAAGGTCATGTGGCCGGCATGACTGCATGGAGCGCCGTTACCTTCCCGCCGGAGTGGTACCTATTGATCTACTCACATTTGCATGTTTTCGAACTGCTAGGTTGGCAGAAGCTAGGGCTGACAGCGGAACCTCACGCCGCTCCCCAGAATCGAACCTGCGACCTTTCGATCAACAAGCTCAGCAGCTCAGTGCTTTAACCCACTGCGCCACCGGGGGCCCCCTAAACCTTTCCCTATCCCTAAACCTAACCCCTAAGCCTAATTCTAATCCTAACCCTTACCCTACTCCAAACCCTAAACCTTACTCTAAACTTCATCCTAACCCTCCCCTCCTTTCTATCCTTCCACCAAACTGAAGTATATTCCCACCCTCAGTGTGCCACTCTCCTCTTCCCTTATTCACAACCGCCATTGTGGTATCGAACCTGCAACCTTTCGATCAACAAGCTCAGCAGCTCAGTGTTTTAACCCACTGTGCCACCAGCGGCCCATTATACTGGGGGAAATGGAAGGAAAAAGGAAGAGGGGCCAACCAAGGGCAAGATGGATGGATGACATCCTCGAAGTGACTGGATTGACCTTGAAGGAGCTGGGGGTAGTGACGGCCGACAGGAAGCTTTGGACTGAGCTTTGGACTGAATCATAGAATCAAAAAGTTGGAAGAGACCTCATGGGCCATCCAGTCCAACCCCCTGCCAAGAAGCAGGAATATTGCATTCAAATCACCCCTGACAGATGGCCATCCATCCAGCCTCTGTTTAAAAGCTTCCAAAGAAGGAGCCTCCACCACACTCTGGGGCAGGGAGTTCCACTGCTGAATGGCTCTCACAGTCAGGAAGTTCTTCCTCATGTTCAGATGGAATCTCCTCTCTTGTAGTTTGAAGCCATTGTTCCGCGTCCTAGTCTCCAGGGAAGCAAAAAACAAGCTTGCTCCCTCCTCCCTGTGGCTTACTCTCACATATTTATACATGGCTATCATATCTCCTCTCATGCCCAGCTCCTTAAGACGCTCCTCATTGGGCTTGTTCTCCAGACCCTTGATTATTTTAGTCACCTTCCTCTGCACATTCCAGCTTGTCAATATCTTTCTTGAATTGTGGTGCCCAGAATTGGACACAATTGGACACAAACCAGGCCATATTTCAGGAAATAAAGCCCGACTGCTCATTGGAGGGAAGGATAGTAGAGGCAAAGTTGAAGTACTTTGGCCGCATCATGAGAAGACAGGAAAATGAGGAAAATGGAAGGAAAAAGGAAAAGGGCCAACCAAGGGCAAGATGGATGGATGACATCCTTGAAGTGACTGGATTGACATTGAAGGAGCTGGGGGTGGTGACGGCTGACAGGGAGCTTTGGCGTGTGCTGGTCCACGAAGTCACGAAGAGTCGGAAACGACTGAACGAATGAACAGCAACAAAGAGATAACAAGAACTGGGAAACCCTGGCCCTTGAGTGCTCTAAGTGGAAGTCAGCTGTGACCACCAGTGTTGCAGAATTCAAAGAGGCACGAATGGAGGGAGAAAGTGCCAAGAGGAAGGCGTGTCAAGCCAACCCTGACCAGGACTGTCTTCCACCTGGAAACGGATGTCCTCAAGAATAGGTCTCCACAGCCACCTACAGACCCATCACACTTGGAGGCCCATCATCCTCGGAGAAACGAGGGCTCGCCTAAGTCAGTGGTTCTCAACCTTCCTAATGCCGCGACCCCTTAGTACAGTTCTACATTTTGTGGTGACCCCCAACCATAAAATTATTTTTGTTGCTACTTCATATCTGCATTTTGCTACTGTTATGAATCGTAATGTAAATATCTGATATGCTGGATGTATTTTCATTCACTGGACCAAATTTGGCACAAATACCAAATACGCCCTAATTTGAATTTGGTGGGGTTGAGGGCAAATTGATTTTGTCATCTGGGAGTTGTAGTTCCTGGGAATTATAGTTCACCTACAATCAAAGAGCATTCTGAACTCCACCAACAACGGAATTGAACCACACTTGGCCCACAGAACTCTCATGACCAACAGAAAATACTGGAAGGTTTTGGTGGGCATTGACCTTGAGTTTTGGAGTTGTAGTTCACCTACATCCACTCAAACAATGACGAGTCTGAACCGAACTGAGCACAATCACTCAATATGCCCACCTGCAAACACTGGTGGAGTTTGGGAAAAATAAGCATTGTCATTTGGGAGTTGTTGTTGCTGGAATTTATAGTTTACCTACAATCAACCCAACCAATGATAGAGTTGGGCCAAACTTCCCACACAGAGCCCCCATGATCAACAGAAAATACTGGAGGGATTTGGGAGGAATTGACAGTGATTTAGGGGAGATGTAGTTCACCTACCTCCAGAGAGCACTGTGTTCCAAATACCATCAGAAATATGTGTTTTCTGCTGGTCTTTGGTGACCCCTCTGACACCCCCTCAGGGGTCCCGACCCCCAGGTTGAGAAACGCTGGCCTAAGTAAAAGTAATATTCAGCCTGCGTCTCCTTGCCTTTGCCCCCCCCCCCCCCTTCTTCCTCCAAGGCCAAGCCTTCCTTTGTTGTACTCCGGTAGGGAGAAAGGCCCAACCCTTCCCAGCAGAGGCCCCTCCCACACTGCCCTGTCTCCCAGGATCTGGCCCCTGATTATCTGCTTCAAACTGGGATATACGAGTCCCCACTGCCAGATTACCTGGGATAAACAGCTAATCTAAGACCTAGGAGCAATGTGGAAGGGGACCACGAACCAGCCTCTTCCCCGATTCCCACTCGCAGGCATTGACTGCTCACCAAACCTCCAAAGAACCCGGATGGGCGGCTCCGGAATCGACCTGTGCGGCCACAAAAGCTGTCCCCTGGAAACAAGGAAACCCCGTCCCTGCTTTCGAAGGTTCCGCCTCAAGGCTTTCCTCATAGAATCCTAGAATCAAAGAGTTGGAAGAGACCTCATGGGCCATCCAGTCCAACCCCATTCTGCCAAGAAGCAGGAATATTGCATTCAAATCACCCCTGACAGATGGCCATCCAGCCTCTGTTTAAAAGCTTCCAAAGAAGGAGCCTCCACCACACTCCAGGGCAGAGAGTTCCACTGCTGAAGGGCTCTCACAGTCAGGAAGTTCTTCCTTGTTCAGATGGAATCTCCTCTCTTGTAGTTTGAAGCCATTGTTCCGCGTCCTAGTCTCCAGGTTAGCTTGATTATTTGCTTTGAATTGTATTGTAGTTGATTATTTGCTTTGAATTGGATTATAGTAAAGGTGACTGCTGAGCTTGTTGACCGAAAGGTCACAGGTTCGAATCCAGGCAGTGGTGTGAGCTTCTGCTGTCAGCCCCAGCTTCTGCCAACCTAGCAGTTCGAAAACATGCAAATGTGAGTAGATCAATAGGTACCGCTCCGGCAGGAAGGTAACAGCGCTCCATGCAGTCATGCTGGCCACATGACCTTGGAGGTGTCTATGGACAACGCCGGCTCTTTGGCTTAGAAATGGAGATGAGCACCAACCCCCAGAGTCGGACACGACTGGACTTAATGTCAGGGGAAAACCTTTACCTTTACCTAGAGGTGACTTGAAATGACTGGCTTGACTCCAAAGGAGCTGCGGGTGGTGACGGTTGACGGGGATCTCTGGCATGGGCTGGTCCATGAGGTCACAAAGAGTCAGAAACGACTAAACGAATAAACAACAAAAAAGGTAAAGGTTTTCCCCGACATTAAGTCCAGTCATGTCCATGGTGCTCATCCCCATTTCTAAGCTGAAGAGCCGGCGTTGTCAGTAGACACCTCCAAGGTCATGTTGCCGGTATGACTGCATGGAGTGCCGTTACTTTCCCACCATAGCAGTGCCTATTGATCTACTCACATTTGAATGCTTTTTTAACTGCTAGCTTGATAGAAGCTGGGGCTAACAGCGGAAGCTCACACCACACCCCGGATTCAAACCTGCGACCATTCGGTCAACAAGTTCAACAGCTCAGCGGTTTAATCCACTGTGCTACAGGGGCTCTGAATTGGATTATATAGCAGTTTACATCTAGCGGAAAGTCTTAGTTTTGTTTTTCTCATGTCAGGAGCGACTTGACAAATTGCAAGTTGCTTCTGGTGTGAAAAAGTTGGCCATCTTCCAGGACATTGCCCAGGGAACAGCCGGATGTTTTACCATCCTGTGGGAGGCTTCTCTCATATCCCCACACGAGAAGCTGGACCTGACAGACAGGAGCTCACCCAGCTATCCAGATTTGAACTGCCAACCTTTCAGTCAGCAGTCCTGCCACCGGGGGCTCCTTAAAGTCCTAGTGAAAGCCCAGTTATGCTGTGTAACACAACTTTTGTTCCTTTGTTATAAATGTCATTTCCTTATTTGTTCTATCATAAAAACATGGAAAAAGATCATTCAACTGAAAAAAACTTGGCTTTTGCAGGACATCCTGCAATAGCACACTTTGCTGTAGTTTTTCAATGAATTATCTCATAAGGTTCTCAACCATAGAATGATAATCATAGAATCATAGAATAATAGAATTGGAAGAGACCACATGGGCTATCTAGTCCAAACCTCTGCCATGTAGGAAAAGCACAATCAAAGCACCCCTGACAGATGGCTATCTGTTTAAAAGCTTCCAAGGAAGGGGCTTCCACAACCAATTCAATATAGTTTGTAGCAGCCACAAAAAAATAATTTTCTGGCTTATAATAACTATTTTCGAAGTAAGTAGTTAAACAGGAAATAACATTTTCAAACCGGGAACAGAATTATTTTTTCAAATTTTGTTACATAGTAAGGCCCACTGGTGGTGCATGGGTTAAACTGCTAAGCTGCTGAATTTGTTGACCAGAAGGTTGGTGGTTCAAATCCGGGGAGCGGGATGAGCCCCTGCTGTTGGGCCCAGCTTCTGACAACCTAGCAGTTCAAAAACATGCAAGTGTGAGTAGATCAATAGGTACTAGGCCTGGGCGGTTTCGTTCGTTAATTTTATAATTCGTTAAATATTCGTTATTTTTAGCAATTACAAAACG